GGACTGCAGGGAGCGGGGTCCGAATCTCCGGACCGGGCTCGATCGAGAGGAAGGGCGAGACTCCGAGGAGCGCTGCCGGGCTGGGGGCCACCGCGACCGCCCCTTCTCGGGGGACTTGGCCGAGAAGCCCCGCGTGAGGGAGGGAGCGAGAGGAGCAGGTCGGCCGGTCCAGATAGGAGTGCGCGTGTGCGTGTGTGTGTGTGTGTGTGTGTACACATGAGCGTGCACGTGTGCCTGCCAGGGGTGGGCGTGTAGGGATGGGGGGCTGTCGTTGTGTGGTGTGTGCCTGACAGTGTGCATGTGTGCGGGGCGGAGAGTGGGGGAGAGAGGGAGAGGAGGTGGGAGCGCCCAGAGATTTGGTCTGAACCCATGTAGAAGGGAGGGGGCTCAGCAGGATGGAGTGTATGTGTGTGCAGGGGTGTGTGAAGGGTGAGTGGGTGTGTCAGGGATGCTAGGTGTGGATGTGTGTGTGATGTAAAGGTACCAGGTGCACGTGTGTCCCCGGCTCACCCTCCCTTCCCCCACCAGATGTCTGCGCACGGAGGGGAGAGCTCTGGGGAGGGGTGGGACTCACTGCAGTCTCCCGCCTGTGGGGCGGCCCAGCTTGCCCGTCTGGCCTTCTCCCACTGCAGACCAGAAATGGCTAAACTGCCCCTCCCCCAAATACTTGTAGGGTCCCTAGGAGGGGAGCAGACCCGGCCCCAAGGATTAGGGGAAAGCTTGAGGGGAGAGAGACCCTGATGTTCTAGGCAGAGCCCTGACAGTCTCTGGCTCTGCCGATCGCTCAGGCCTATGCTTTGCCTCTCTGGGGGTCTTCAGTGGTATCTCAGATGGGGCCAGAAGTGGGGGGCTTGACTCATCCAGGAGGATTTGCTTGAGCACAGCTGTATCCCCAGAAGGATGCTTGGCACCATAGGCCTCCACCGGTATCTGAGTAAGGAAGGGAGGCTGGGAAGAAAGGGGGAAGGGAAGAAGAGAATCTGCATCTGGGAGCCCAAGTCCGTCCTCTCTTCTGTGATTAAGGGTGCCAGGTCTTGGGTCTCTGGTTGCGTTATGCTCTGGTTCCCCGTGTGCAGGAGTGGGGTGGCACGGGGAGAACCACAGGGGAGAGATTTGTGCTGGGCCAAAGGGTACAGGAAGGAGCTGGCGAAAGAAGCCATCCTGTCTCTCCTGGGCAGAAGATTTTGCATCCTGCCCCCACCCCCTGCTTCTCTGTGATCAGAAGCCTCATCTGGGGCATCACATGGGACCCTCGGGAAGGGAAGAGAGTGGTGGCAGCCAGGGTTCACAAGGCCTCTCTTCCCTCCAGGTCCTTGGAGCTCAAAAGGTGCTGAACAACGGAGCCTCTTGCCCACTCTGGCTGTGAGGCCAGGTGTGGCCATGGCAGGGCGTGGCTGCCTGGGGCTGGGGCTGTTCTGCTGGGTCCTGTGTGCTGTTCCTGTAGGACCCCAGCCTGCCTCCTCTATCCCAGGGGCCCTTACCACTTTGACCCCACCACCTCAGAGCGAGGCCTCCATGCTATCTCTCAACCTGGGACTAAACTTCAAATTGCATCTTCGAGGACCTGCTGCTGTCTGGGGAAACCCTGTCACAGAGACCCAGGCTCTTTCTCCTGGTCCAGGCCAGGAGCCAGGGGAAGAGGTGGCCAGTGGGCTGAGGAATGATCCTCTTTGGGAACTGCTGGTGGGTCCCCCTGGGAACTCTCCTCCAGAGTGGGGCTCTGCTGAAGGCAGTGCAATGCCCTGGGCCTCCTCCCTGTCTCCTGAGTCCGCATCCTTCCTCTCTGGGCCCACTCACCGGCCAACTACTCCATATCAGCCTAGGATGGGCCCTATGACCTGGGCCACTGCTCTGACAGCGACAGCTCCACCATCCAGTGTTCCCAGATCCCACCACAGCGAGCTGGAGCTGAAGTTCGATGTGGCATTGAGAGCAGGTGCAGCCCCCACACTGGGGCATCGAACACTGCCCCTCCTGCCTAGCCTGCGGGCCAGCCTGGCAGAGATTGCTGGGCGTCTGGGACCCTTTGGTGAGTACCCACCCCATTGAAAGACAGCCCTTCTGGGCATCCCTGGTGCATAGGAGACAGGTTCAGCCTGGACTCCTTTTACAGGGTTCTTTGGCACTACACTGTCCCCACTCCGGAACTTCTCAGGCCTGAGCCCCCCAGGCATAACAACATCCCCAAACTCTGCCTCCAGAGTGTCAGAATCTCCAGGTGAGTGTTCATTTCAGCAAACATTTGTGGGGCTGTCTGCATGCCAGGTGCTGTGCTAGGGAGCCAACCAGCACGCCCTTTCTCAGCTGGGGTGTGTGTGTGGGGAGGCCTGCACTGCTTCTCCAGGCCCTAGGGGAAATATCCTCTCTGCAGCATTGACTCTTGTCCTGTAGTTTAGCAAAAGGTGCAAGGGAGCCTGAGCTTAGGGGATGGGGTACGCTTCCTCAGTACAAGCTCTGGGAAGTACAGAATTTTCTCCAAAGTCCTAGAAGCCAGGGCTAGATGGTAGGGTGGCACTCAAGCTCCATATGCTCCTTTGCAGGGTTCTTTGGCACCACTCTGTCCCCGTCCCTACCTTCTCTGGAGAGGAAACTCTCAAGCCCAAGCCTACTGGACCTGGCTGCCTTCCTAAGCACTGTCTCAGCTGGGACAGCAATGCAGCATGGTAAGTGTCAACTCAGTTGAAACTGACAACTGCGTTTTGAGCACTTGCTCCACATCAGTCACTTATCGGTGTTCTGAGACCCTTTTATTTCACTGCCCTTATAACCAGAATCACCTTTGTATTCACCATCACTGTGGAGAATATACATCAATGGTCTGGGAACAAGTGTTTCAGAGGAAGGCCCCACACGGAATTCCGAAATGGTCCTCCGAGAGGTTTGCAGTTGCAGGCGGAGCAGCTTGGAGACAGGTGGAGCGGGACTCCCACCATCCTCCACTGTGGATGGCCTGGCCTACCTCTCCACCACCCCCATGCTAGCCCAATCTTTCGACTCTTCTCCACCTTCTTATCTGACATGACACACTGTCAGATATGGGTGGAGCCGGGTCCCTCATTGGGAGGACATTGAGGAGGAGGCCACAGGCAAAGAGATGCCAGTTTTGTTTAAGGGAGTCTTTCACATCAAGCTTCTACACAAGTGGGTGGCATCTTGAGACCTGGCTTTGAATCCCTTTGCTTCCTTACAAGCTGGGTGACCTTAAGCAGGTTACTTAATGTCTGTAAGTTTAAATTCTCTCCTTTATATAGGATATAATGATAGTATTCATTTTGAAGAGGTACTCTGATGTTTCTAGGTAACAAAAACTCTTTGCCTGATGATGTTGGTCACAAAGTAGACATACATTTAAAGTAGTGGCTGTTAACCTGGCTCTTCTCTCTGACTGCTTCCCAAATATACTTCCAGACCCTACTTCACAGCCATCGGGGCTTTGGCCACAGGTGATAGTGGGATAACACATAAACAATGTATAATACCAGACAGAGGGCATAGGTGCTTGGGGACAGTGTCTGGCAGATGAGGCCACCAGAGCCATGGAGAGCGACTTCAAAGCTTAGCTTTGCTTTTCAAACCATTTGCTGTGGCTGCAAAGCCCCTTAATTCCCTCATATTGGGCTCAGCCATGGAAACCCCTGGTTCTCTACCTTCTTCTAGCCCCAAACCTGGCACCACATCCCACCTGCTGGCTGCAACCACTGTCACTGTGCTCCCGAGCACTTCCCATGTCCAGCCAGTGTGTGGCAGTGGAAGGATCCACTGTGGGTGGAGGGCAGTTCTGTGCCTCCAGGGAAGGATGCTGGCTGGCAGTCTGTTGCCAGGGGGACAGCGCTGGCCAGGCAGGTTTAATGAGTCTGGATAGTATCAGGGGCAGCAGGCTGGCAGCCCCCCAACACACAACTGGTGGCTGCAGAAGCCCAGCCTCTTCCTGGCTGCTCCTCCTGGATAAACCCAGAAGGGCTACAAGCCTCCTGGAGATAAAGCCAATGGGCCTTGCTCACACTGGTGTGTGTATGTGTGTGTATGTGTATGGTAAATGATTTCTGTGTCTCTCCTAGGGTCTTTCTTGCCTAGTTGCCATTAACTTTGGGTGTCTAGGTCCTCCTGATCATAGGTCCCTTTCACTCTGAACAGAGCTTGTATTTGGACCCTAAGCCCTCCAAAAGTTGTACAAGCCGTAACACATGGAAAGACTCTCAGGCCACTCTGTCCTGAGGCCCTGTAAGTGCTCTCCTCCACTCCCTGGGCACCCTGGTGGGCCTCTGTTCTGACTGTCTGGTGCCTGTGCTACCTAGTCGTTAAATATGTTGAGTGTCACTGTCGCAGAGAATATCAGTGCTCTGGGATCCTGGAAGTGGGAGTGGGGGAAGGGATGGAGCCAGGCACCAAAGGGCTGCAGCTTCCCGAATCCATTCCCCAGCCCTTTGATGTGGGCAGCTCGGGGGATAATCAGGCCTGGCTTTGCCATGAGTGAGATGTCCCCTTCCTCTGCCCCTTTCCAGTCGGCTCCAGTCTCACTAATTACATTGATATCCCGTCTCCTCCTTTACCCCTGAGGTCAAATGGGGCCACAAGGCCAAAATGGGACCTCCCTGAAGAGGTGGACTGCTCAGCAGAGGGATCCAGGGAGGGGCAGATTGAAGGGGAAACTGAAGGATCCTTCTGGGGAAATCATAAATTCGGAGAAGGGAAAGGAGGTCAAGTGGCCCCTTTTAAGGCAGAAGCCAGGCTTCTTTCCACATCCCCACTCACACTGGGCCCATGCAGGCCCTCTGGGTACACTATGACCTCTGGGAACAGTGCTCCCTAATTCAGAATCCTTCTCTGACACATGGGCTGCACCTATACTTTGCCTGTTTTCTGGCTTCTATTCCTTTTCTGAATTCTTATGAATGTTGCAATTTGCCCTGGTTGCCATAGTGCTTGGGGACAGAGATGAGAGATGAGGTTTTCTGTGGATGAGAGGTAAAGATGGAGGAGAGTGGAGTGGAGCTAGAGCTATGCTTGTTTGTGCAGGGGACAAGGAGAACAAGTGACAGGCTGATCCTCACTGTGGGCTTCTAGGCGGAACCTCTCTGCCTCTCTGCAAAGCCCAAAGGTGAAAGAAAGACCAATCTAACTTAGTTACTTTGCAGAAGCAAGGATCAGAGGGTGAAGGGTCAGGGATTGTGTTTATTTGATTCTGCCAGTGCTAGCTGATGTCCTGATTTGTTTGTAGATAAATGTCTTCTCATTTAACTGATGGGTGCTCTCTTCATGGCTGTTCAGGGGTATTTATATCATCAGCATGGTCCTCTTCAGAATTCGCAAAATATGTTGTTCACTCATTTGATTGATTGTTGTGAAGCAGTCACAAGAGTATCTAAGCAAGCTTAGAACATGCTAAAGGGTTCTCACCCAGATGGCAGTCTTTGGTGGTTAAATCAAGGACTAGTCTGAGGCCAGAATTGCTCACATTCATACAAACACAAACTGATGATCAGTGATGATCACTAGCCAATGAGGTTACTGACCACAATCTTACACTGAATGACCATTATGCACCAGGCACTGCAAAGAGTTTATGCACATCTTCATATTTATCCTACACCTGTCCTGTGCAGTGGGCACTCTTGTCTAGTTCAGATTTGAGAATATGATGGAATGGAAACCAGAGTGCAAGCTGCTGTTTGCAATTGGCAAGGAGCAATGCAGATTTAATTTTCTGGTTGCTCTTTCTCAGTCCTCCCCGGTTGCCCAATTCCATTTCCCCTCCCCTCTCTCCAGTGCTGCCTTCTGGCTTCTCACTCCTTTTTCTTGTTGTCAGATCTGCTGTGTTTTTGCCTGTCCCTCGCATGAGCTGGCACTGCCTGGGTAGGAATGTTCCTGGGGTCTTCATGTGTTGTCCAGCTGAATATGGCTGGGAAACAGCCAGCTGTTGGGGCAGGTGTGTGATCATTAGGAGACCTCCCTCTCCATTCTACATCTGTCTCTCCTCTTCCCCATCCCTACCAGGGTCTCCCCATCTTTCTCTACCACCCTTTCTTTCTCCACCTTGGCTTGAGGCTGCATTCCTGTTGAGCCTGTGAGAGGAGGGTAGGAAGAAGTCAGTTTTCAACATTTCCCCATCGTCCAGCCATAGACAGAATTCCTGGCTCTCTTTTGAACTCCTCTCTAGCTTCAGGAGAGTAGAACCAGGTTTCTTACTCCATCCCTCACTGTTTTGTAGAGTTTCCTTTCCCCAAGAGATGTGGGAAGATGTTAGCACACAGGAAGGGGCTGGAGACCTGAGTTAGTAAACCCAAGAGCACTTGAGGACCTCACACACTCAGATGACATTTATTGTCCTATGATCTCCCCGATTATTCCTTTCTGGGAGTTCAAGAGCAGCCTCTGAGACTCAGGTGAGTCTCAATGTCACCTTCTGTAAAATGTGTGGGAGATCAAAGGGACATCTGCATTGAGAGTTTTAGACTTGCCTTATTGTTGAATCAGTATGGGGGCCACAGCCAGGGGTAAGCTGAGGATTGGGATGTAGCTTGTAGGAAGGGGAGTGTTTGTGTATATGTGCAAGGCAAGTATGTTCCTTAAAACAGGGACAAGGTTGGAGAAGTTCAAAAGGTCAAGAGAAGCATCTCTTAGCAGCAAAGTGGCAGTTAGCAGTCAGGGGTGCAGAACAGGAAATAAGCAGACTAATATTATAAAGACATTTTTGAGTGAAAAGGAGGCTCTGATTGGTGCTTGGATTTGGATTGTAGCTGCACTCTGCTGATTCCTGACCTTGGACAAGTCACTTTGCCTCTCTGCAAAGCCTCAGTATCTTAATTTGGCAAATCAGATTCATTTATTCAATGAGTATCTGCTCAGTGTCAACTATATGCCACAAAACCTTTTAAGCATGGAGATTCAGATGTGAACAAAGGGAACAATAATCCTTGTTCTTGTAAAACTTCCTTTCTGGTGCGGGGATTGGATAGGATGGGGGGGCGGTCCACAGTTCGTTCCAGTTATAAAGTTCTGTGACTTCTGAAGAAAACCTTTTCCAGTGGAGTCATGGAGTGATGGATGGAAATGAAGTAAGGAGGGAAGGGAGGGTATGAACTGAAGCTTTGGCCTGAAGGATTGGAGTGTGGGAGACGGAAGCGAAAGGCCAAGAGGTGGGGAGTCTTCTAAGTAGGACAGGTGCATCCTGGGTGATTTGATGGACTCTCACTGGCTACTGGCTGAGGGCTAGCCGTGTGGGGAAAGACAGCACCATTAACTCAGCAAATATTCTTTGCCTGCAGACCTCACCATCCCCACCTCTGGCTCAGATGCCCCCTCTGGATCCAGCCTTGGAAACCCTTCAGTGCAGCCAGAGTGTGGGCTAGAGACTTGTAGCATGGATGTGGGCGAGCTGCCAGATCGAGAAGTGCAACCTCCTTCCTCCCCGCGGCCCCTCTTCTTCCTGAACCTGGAGGCTGACTGGGCAGAGGCCCGGGCTTGCTGGGGGCTGGCCTGGGAGGCCCACGTGTACGGGGCAGGCGCACTCTTCGGCTTAGTGGCCATGCTGGCCCTGCTGGCTCTGGCGCTCTTGCCCTGGCGCTGCCCGCCTGGTGCTCCCTGCCTGGCACTGCTGGACCTGC